AGTAATCAAAACCCTAGGGCAAGGGTCCTCAAACTATGGCCAGCGGGCCACATGCGGCCAGCCAAAAACATTTATCCGGCCCGCTGGGTGTTTTTGCCTCTGCTGCCTGTCTTGCTTAGCAGCCGACTCATCCCCGGCCCGCAGTGCGCATGTGTGGAATGTCTGAGGGACAGTGAACTGGCCCCCTATTTAAAAAGTTTGAGGACCTCTGCAGTAGGGTATTGGTGTAAAAACAGAAACATAGATCAATGGAAAAGAATAGAGATTCCAAAAAGAAACCCATACATAGATGGTCAACTAATTGATAACAAAAGAGCCTAGCATATACAATGGGGAAAGGGTAGTCTCTTTAATAAATAGTGTTGGGCACCTACCTCAGTAGTACATATCTATATAAATAAAAGCCTAAGTGACCATTATGACTGGTCAACTGAATGACTGGTCGACCATTCACTATGACACGCACTCAACACAGGAGCTGCCCCCTGGTGGTCAGTGTGCTCCCAAGGCCAACCTCCTGCGGTCGCCCCCTCTGGCCAGCCAACATCCCATGGCCTCTCCCCCACAGAGGCTGGCCCAAATTGGCCCTGATTGGCCCTGATCAGGACTGGCTAGAAGGCCTCGATCAGCCCGATCACTGGCCAGGCCAAGGCATCCCACCTGTGCACGAATTTGTGCACCAGGCCTATCTATATAAATAAAAGCCTATGTGTCCATTATGACTGGTCGACTGAATGACTGGTCGATTATTCACTATGACACGCAATGACTACCGGGGGCAGATGCTCAACACAGGAGCTGCCCGCTGGTGGTCAGTGTGCTTGCAAGGCCAACCTCCCGCAGTCCCTCCCTCTGGCTGGCCAACCTCCCATAGTCCCTCCCCCATGGGGGCTGGCAAAGATTGGCCCTGAATGGCCCTGATCAGGACTGGGCGAGAAGGCTTCGATCGGCCCGATCGTTGGCCAGGCCAAGGGACCCCACCTGTGCACCAATTCGTGCACCAGGCCTCTAGTGCTAAAATTAATGGTGTTGGGAAAGCTGGACAGCCATGCAAAAGAATGAAAGTCAATAGAAAAACCCAAACATTACAATTTTAAAATGCACAGAGGATATGAATAGACATATTTTTTTCCAAAGAAGATATACAATTGGCCAACAGGTACATGAAAATGTGCTTAGCATTACTAATCATCAGGGAAATGAAAGTGAAAATAATAATGAGATACGACTTCACACATATCAGAATGCTATTATGAAAAAGACAAAAAACAAGTGTTGACAAAAATGGGGAGAAAAGGGAATCCTTCGGTAGAGCAAAGAAAACCATCAATATTTTTCTATTGAATGGGAATAAAATTTACAAATATTATACTTGATTAGGGGTTAATATAAAAAAATATATAAAGAACTCATATAACTCAATAGAAAAAAGCCAAAGAATCCAATTTTAAAATACACAGAGGATATGAATAGACATATTTTTTCCAAAGAAGATATACAAATGGCCAAGAGGTACATGAAAAGGTGCTTAGCATTACTAATCGTCAGGGAAATGCAAGTGAAAATAATAATGAGATATAACTTCACACTTATTAGAATGCTATTATGGAAAAGACAAGAAATAAGTGTTGACAAAAATGTGGAGAAAAGGGAATCCTTGTACAGTGGGAATGTAAACTGGTACAGCCACTATGGGAAATAGGAGGTTCCTAAAAAAATTAAAAATATAGCTAACACATGATCCAGTAGTTACACTTCTGGGTATTTATCCGAAAGAAATGAAATCATTATCTCTAAAAGATATCTGCTCCCCTATGTTCATTGAAGCATTATTGAGATAGCCATGACATGGAAACAACATACTGTCCATTGGCAAAATAAATGGATAAAGAAGATGTGGTATATACAGGAGATGATGGAACATAATTCAGTCATAAAAAAGGAAATCCTAACATTTGCACCAACATGGATGGATATTGAGGGAATTATGCTAACTAAAATTTCAGACAGAGAAAGACAAATAATGTATAGTAGGTCTAATATCGCTACTTATAAATTATTGTATTACTATAGGCGTGGTGCACAAACACATGTACGGTTGGAGTCCCTCGGCCTGCCCGGTGATTGGGGCCACGGGAGTTTGTCAGGCTGTGGGAGCACACTGACTGGTCTCTATGTCCTTTATCTCTGCTCTGATCTTCAGTATTTCTTTCCTTCTGCTTACACTGGGCTTTTCTGGAGGTGGGCAAAATGGGTGACAGTGGTCAAAAGGTACACACTTCCAATTGTAAGATTAATGAGTCCTACAGATGCGATATACAGCATGGAAACTATAAAAGAAAAAAGAAGGAAAGAAGGTAGGTAGGGAGGAACAGAGGAAAGGAGAAAGAAAGGGAGAAATAGCTAATAGCTAAACATTTTTTATCTTTTAAAATCCAAAACGATTGTTGCATTCCCTTCTATTTCCTTTTTAGAATTTTCTGACTTCTCAAAGCAACCTCTCCACAGACGAAAGCCTTTGGTTTTGGAGAAGAAAACAGAATCAGCAATTTTTCAGGTGTGTGGTGAAAATGAAACATCTGTAGAAAACGCCCTCTCCTGCCTACAGAATCTGATGGAAAAGGAACAGAGTCTTTACACCAGTGAAGAGGAATGTATCAAAGACTTTGATGAAAAGGAATATCAGGAATTGAATAAGCTGCAGAAGGACTTGAATATTTTGGTGGAATTGGACCATCAGAAACCTTTGATTAAGGTTTCAGGGATTAGCAGAGATGTGGAACAGGCTAGAAATGCAGTTGAGGAGATGATCAAGACAGTTAGATCAGCCAAAGAGCAGGAATCCAGAGCAGATTATATCACTGAGTTTGTAGAATGGCAATATGACGACAATAACACTTTTCGTAGTTTTGACAAAATAACCAATATGAAATTGGAGGAGGCAAGAAAAAAACAGGGAAAAACAGTTGATGTCCAAATTAATAATCAGAACTACACAGTGGACGTGAAAACATGCATTGCTACAGGTGCAAACGGACACAGTTTACAAATTCAGCGCATCATGAAACCTCAAGGTGAGTCAAACTTTCACGCTTGTTATCCACTATTTTACACTTACTTTGGGCTTAACACTATTTTGTATATCTATCAACATTGTAGTCAAGTAGATAGAATTCAAGTAATTCTTATGCATTAAAATAGAAAACTTACGGAGTTTACATTAAGGTTGGGAAACTACAGCCTGTGTGAGCCCAACATCCTGAGGATGACCATCTTAGTGGTCACATAGCCAAACCTTGCCTTTTTGTAGTTCCCAAGCTTCCTAGAGCCAGTTCTTCTGGGAGGTAATGGCTGCTTCAGTACAGAGAGGGACAGCCATGGGCTTTAAAGAAACGTGGCCCAAGATTTTATTTAGAATAAAAGGGAGAAGACAGCCTGGTCAGACAGTGGGAAG